TTTGTGAAATTGTTCAAAAGTAAATAAATTTTAACTAATTTTCTGTTAAGGGAGTATTAGAACTGAAAAGTTTTACAAGAATCATATATACTACAAAAACAAATAAAACTTAGTGGAAACAGAGGGTCTGAGGCTTGCGAAAGCACCAAAATGCTGCTGGAATTAGGGGTTTTTTCCAGTCTACTGTCACCTATCGTACCATAACTCTTGATGCCGAAAAGACACCACCCTATAATTTTTGTATGTTGTATAGAAAATATGTCTCTAAAAAATATGTCTCTTCTAAAAAATTCAATTTTTCCGTTTTTGAGAAAAATCGTTTTAAATTTTTGCTTTTATTTTACTTTAGAATAAAATTTGCCAATATATTCGTTTTATCGTTTTACCATTTTTTCGAGACAAGCTTTCAAAAGTAAAAATCAGAAAATTTTGTTGCGAATGAAGGAAAATACAATTTCCTAAAGGTGGTTATGTTGAGGGTTAACCGCACTTTTTTTCCCACTTTAGAACGGTCTAACTTTGCCGCCAGCGCACTTTTTGAGGTGAACTCTTGCGATTTCAAAATCCGGTTTCAAGTGCTACAAGTTGGCAAAAAATGAAAGAAACTGAGAAGTCGAGGTGCAAACTTGTGTGGTTTGGCGTGGAATGGCCTATATATACATATAGTTTACCAAGCGGTATTTGTTCAGATATGAATGGTATAAAGATGGTAAACCGTTGTTAATCGACAACCAACGAATTGTGTGGGAGAAACCTGGGCAGAGTGGAACCATAGTGTTTTTGGATCCACACGGTGACGATCAGGGTTACTATCAGTGTTTTGTGAAGAACAATTTGGGTACTGCTATCTCTAACAAAATGCGACTTCGTCTAGGCGGTGGGTAGCTATTTCTTTTTATGGCAACTATTATTAACAACTGCTAATGACCTTTTTTTCATCGTATTAGAATGATGTTAATTAATAATTAAGTCTAAGAGTTCAACTGCAAATACAGTTATTTATTATTGGTGATCACTGAAATTTGTACAATGGTATATAACAGGTGAAAGTTAATTGCAAAACGTTTTCGGTTGCTCGAATAACGTTTTTTAATTTTATTTAAACAGATTTGTATCGGTCTACTAGCAAGAATATTTTTTCTTATTCTGTAGAGTTATGATATTGTAAGTTTTGTAAGGCGGTCATTTACAGAAACAAGAAAGAATACTAGGACAGTTAAAAAAGCCTCTAGTATAGAGTAATTTTAGCTCAAATTTCAAAAACAGCTTTATTATATGAAATTTTTTTAACTTTAAGAATAAAAATGTTAGAAGCGTGATGGGTTGTAGTGGTGACTAAAAATCAGGATGTTCACATTGGAGTAAAAAGAAAGAGTCAATTTAAATAAGAGCACCTGACAATCATTTTTTAATGATACGCAAGGGAATACATCGTGATTAAAGACGATATTTGATAAAGCAGTATGTCACCATAATTTAGAAAATTAAAAGATCATGAATAATTTTAAAAAAATGAAAAAAAGTATTTCTTCTGTGACTGACAGTTATAAATTTGGTGTATATATATTTGTGTGTGTGTGCCCTTTAACTTTAGTATATTTCAGTTCTGGAACCGTTCAAATCAATTGGACAGAGAGTAGTTGAGGTTGAGGAAGGGGACAGTTTGACAATCAAATGTGATGTGCCCTTTGGGATTCCTCCGCCAAAAATTATTTGGATTTATCGAGACCCAAAGAAGTCTGATTTTATGAAGTCAATTAACAGCAAGCATATTACAATTGATGGTGAAGGTATCTAAAAATACTTTTTTGTTGTAAAAGTTTGACCAAATGCAAACTATCGGTACCCGATGGAGATAATGCACTTGTACGGTGTAGCTTTATGTTGATTGCAGGTGACCTTCAATTTAGTTACGTAAAGCAAGAAGATGCAAGTCCAAATTTACGCTATCAGTGTGGAGCAATCTCACCGGTGCTTCAGGATGGTTTACGATTGGGTGATGAAGTTAGGGTTGTTGCCAAGTCGTTGCCAAGTAAACATTTTAACAATGGATTCTCAGTGTGACAAAACGATTGTTTAGAGTTTTATATTTTTTTAAAATATACTTTGGCGACAAAAGTTCTCGCAGGTCGCAACAGTAATTTATCTTTATCTGATAGAAACAATTAACCTGATTATGAGATTACGAAAAAGTTTCAGAAAAGAAATCAGTTCCGCCACATGTTCTGTATGTTAGCCCAAAAACTGTTGTTGTGAAAGCTGGCTCGCAGCTGATGCTCATGTGTATATTTGGTGGAAGGTTTGATGTTGCAGTTTCATTTACAACTCACTTTTTAACTATTATATCTGTCATCAAAAACTTTATAATACCAAAGCAATATCGCAGTAATCTTGTTACAGGCCATTGCCAATAGTTCGATGGAGTAAACTCAATGGGGATTTACCAATAAGTCGAATCAGAGATTTAACTTTACCTAGTTCAGCTTACGGCAAAATATTAATCATTGACCAAATTGAACGTGAAGATGGTGGTGTATATGAGTGCCATACACAGCAATTGGTCCATCAAATGCGCGTTGTCGTAACAGGTTACTTTACGCTTATAAGTTGACAGTGTGGTAGTTTATGTGGAAAGTGGTTGCCGATGAAAAAAAAACCTGATTTTTAACTTCAGCTGCACCATATTGGGAATCTGGAAAACCGCAAGATGTTGATGTGGCAGAAGATGATACTGTAGATCTTAATTGTTTTGCGGCTGCTGATCCTGCACCTGTTACCCATTGGCTTCGAAATGGAAAAATTTTAAAAAGTTTGTTTACCACCAGTAGGTCTGAATAATTGGTCAGACTGGCATTGTTTTATTCTTGTTACTTTAATAGTGAATACTTTTTTTTCAAAACTTTTCAGGTGATGGCAGGTTTACAGTTTTGAACAATGGGCGGACTTTAAGAATAGCTAATGTTGACCACCATACAGATATAGGTATTTTTCAGTGCAATGCCTCAAACGTGTACGGCTATATCTTCGAGAATATTTTCTTGAAAGTTCTTGGTAGGTTTCTGATGGTTTAATGGGTTGCAGTTCATGTTGAACTTGGGGTAAACTGAGGTGGAAACCGTGAAAACGATTTTAGCATACGCTCCAACCTTCAAAATGCCGACTAGTGTCGTTTATAAGGTTGTTCGTAATACAACCGTCTACATGCCCTGTGAAGTTGATGCAGCTCCAAAAGCTACAATCCGTTGGGTAGATATCGAAAATCGTCCGATAAAAGCAGTTCAAAATGGAGTTTATGTCAGTAGCTTAATGATAATCAACAATTAATAACAGTTTCTCTTATAGGACCACAGTAGTGATTTACTCTTTAAAAACTTTTAAATGAAGCCAAGTGTTTTTACAACCGGAATTATAGATTTTCGAAAACAACACTCTGAGGATTTTAAATACTGAAAGGGTTCACGAGAGGCTATACTACTGTAATGTTTCAAATAAATACGGGCTCAATCGAGCAGTCTACGAGTTGTTTGTCTACAGTGGGCTTTTTTCATTTGTAAAATTGTTATACTGGAAAACTTTGAAGTGCTAAGCATTATCGTGAACTTCGTGAATTATGTTTCTGTTTAGGTCCGACAAGATTCATTAAAGCTCCGCAATTAAATGAAACTGTACTGGAGGCTCATCAGTCATTTAAGCTTGACTGTATGGCTGTTGGTGATCCAAGGCTCGAGCTAAAGTACAGCTGGAGGCGCAATGGTTTTCCCATAAATGAAACTGAGAATTTTAAGTAGGTATTTCATCAGAATACCCTTATCTGTCACTAATTTACGTTTACACTCAGTGCTGCCTTAAGGCGACCTTAAGAAGCAATTTTTTAAGCCAGAAACTGAGGCTCAGGTTTTCAGAATTGTTGCGACGTCGTTGCAGATGACTGATGTTAGAGGCTGGCATGCTGGTAACATAGAATGTATAGTTACTAGCGGAGTAGATGAGATCAAAACTGATTTGAATATCACAATTATTGGTTCCTTTTTTTTTATTAGCAACCTTCAACACAGTTTTTCTAGTTCAGTAGTTTGTATATTTTCGGCCATGAGTACGTTTTACTTTAGATGTACCTGCAACACCGGAAGTGCATAAGATTGATTGTAGCGAGAGGAAGGCAGTAATCATATGGAAAAAACCCAATGAATACGGGGATAAAATATACGAGTACATCGTGCAGCAGCATATTACTTTTGAGGAGGTTCTTACTTCGTTAAGATAATAATATTCCGGTTGATAATGTTGCTGTCATAAAATTTGTAACGCATCTTTTATCTGGAGGAGGGAGATTGGAAAGAAGAAAACTTAATTTTTGAATCTGACACCATAAAGTGGCGACTAGCTTTTAGCAATGTATGATGACTGTCTTTCATCAGCGAAGCACGTTCAACAGGGTTAAAATGCATGATCAAAACCATAACAAAAGGAGAAACATTCTCCTTTTTAAGAGCCCATCAAGCCGTTGTTTACAGAAGACGGTTTCGCTGCGACCTTACTTGACGATTTTGCAGGGTCAGTGGAAAACAGCAGCAACAGTAACGGATCTTGAAGATCACAGTAATGATACATATCAGACAGTAATAATATTATCACCATGGGTAAGTTTACTGTAATGGTCATTCAGTAGACCTGTTGAGTTCCGTATGTTAGTATAAATAGATGATAGTTAACACGTCACTCTAATCAAATAATTTCTTCTGAGCTGTTGAAACGTGTTTCGTTGCGTTTAGGCAGTTTACAGCTTTCGAGTAATTGCCCGTAACAGACATGGAGACAGTGATCCGGGGTACGGTGAAAATACAATATGCAGTACCTCATCAACAAATCCATATACTAATCCTAGTGGTGTTGAAGCTGAAGGTGATGAGCCAGACAATCTGGTTATTCGGTGGAAACCAATGAAAAAGATCGATTGGAATGGTCCAGATTTTGAGTATTTAGTGCGATATCGGTTTGATGATGAATTTTCACCGTGGAAACAAATTGTAATTGAAGATCCTTTAGCAGTAAGTTGCACTAAATGTTTCTTACATTTTTTTTACAATTCTCAATATTATTACAGCTTCATTTTTTTTATTTAAGTAAGTTTTAATAACTTTAGTACAAGGCTTGTTTTGTTTTACTCGAAGCAGACTGTTCTGGACTGGTGTCTTCTCAGAAACCTGTAAAGTTCTTAATGCAGTTTTGGAGTTCGAAATAGATTTCAAGAAACCATTTTATTTTACTTAACTGGGTGAGTTGACCTAAGTAAAAGTTGGTAGATGAGGTAGGTGTAGCAGTTTTTTTTTCATGATACCTCCAATAGTGTTCGCTCTGTCATTCTATATAACCTTATTTTAAAATAGGAAAGAACAGAGGTTTAGTATTTTTTTTCAATATTACACTTTTCCTAAACATGAAATAAAAATAAATAAAGATAGCAAAATGTTTTTTTTTGAGCATGATTGGCCAGCACAACTGTTTAAGTTTGTTTTGCTATGATCGCCACTAGAGGTTTTTAAATAATTCATTATTTTGCTTTTCCAGACCTGTATTTTTGTATGTCAGACCAAGAAATATGTACATTTGCTTAATGTTCCTTTTATTGTTCTTCCGTCAAAAAACTCCTATGAAATTACGAGAATTTTTGAATATAGGAAGTTTTTGTTGAGGAAGGAGCATTTTAAGTAGTTGGAGTAACTTGAAAGACTACAGTCCGGAAACAAAGGTGAAAAATGTACATGCTTTTATAAGCATAGATTTGGTTTCATGTTTGGCAGTTATTTATTTATCATTTTATATTCATTATTCATTCATTTACCTAGTTTCGTGCATTTGATTTGTGTTTAAAAGTTGTATCAAAAAGTCTTTTAGAACGCAACAATAATAAGGGATCAGCCAACGTATAAGCGGTATTTGGTTCAAGTAAAGGCTATAAACGACGTTGGAGAGTCGGTTGCGGAACCAGAAACAATTATTGGGTACTCTGGTGAAGACGGTAAATGTTTTTTTGTAGTTTATTTTTTTGCATTGAAGCGTTTTCTAGTGAAGTGTTGTCATTCTTCTCGACACTTTTTTCAGTGCCCCTTTATTCACCGCTAAATTTTACTGTTGTCTCACAAGCTAATTGGACTGCAGTTGTTCTTGGTTGGGAGCATGTGGATCCTGCATCTGTTAAAGGACTTTTTAGGGGATATTTGGTTAGTACTCATGTTCCTGATTCACCTTTAATCTATTACATAAGTCAGTTTCAAAACCAAAATTTTTGTTGTAAAGCATAAAACCGTGGACATCGTTGCATTTTATTTGATTAAAAATGGCCATTTTTAAAAAGCTGATGTGTTTTTTCCA